AAATATAACCCCCCCCCCCCCCCAAAAAAAAAAACCGGGGGGGGGGTGGATAATTTCAAATTAGCTACCCTTTTTATGCCTATTAAGATTCACAATCATAGAATAAAACTTACAACAATTAATAAATATATTTGTATTTCAATGCATAGGGGGAAGGGAAATAAAGTGGTTAACTTTAAAAATAAATCATGGTTTAACATTACAACCCCAGCCGCCTCCCTTCCAATAAATAATAAGAAATGCTCTACAAGTACTTTGCCACATAAGCATGGAACTTACTCAATATCTTCCTCCCAAGGTACTAAACGATTTTTAAATAAATAGTTTTCAGTTTTAACAAGAGTACAACATTAAATCTAAAAGTAGCATTAGGCCAAAAAGTTAAAGACTCGCAAAGACAATGGTTTTGCTACTTTAAATCGCTGTGGTGTAAGCAGGCCGCAGACAATGATTTAGCTAGGTACACTGCCGCTGTGTACGTAGTGCCAGCCTTTTTTTTTTATAAATATAATAGGAAACAGGTCTTGTGGCCTTTAATAATAATAAATATAGGCTCAAAAGGCATTAATTAAAATTTCTCTATGAATGAAGTATGAGCTGACTGACTCAACTGACTGGTTCTCAGTTCTGAAATTGAAAACTGAGGACTTACGTCAGTAGTTATTAGTCATAAATCACACCGATATTACTCAATTCACTCATCAATGACAATGATTTAAAGTCAAATCTAGTTGACTAGTTACAATAGTTACATTTACAATAATCGACACTAGGCCTAGGACCTGGCCCTACTCCTAGCCTACACCGATGGAAGGCTATGACAGCTTTTGGTTATGTCGCCTATGTACTATGTTACTATTCTTTCTACTTTCTGACTATACTGTATGTTTATAGAATTAGGCCTACCATGTGAAGTGAGATGGAATGAAAAAATGTTTGGCAGTTGAGGTTTGAATGATCTTAGTAAATGTTCTAGGGCAGGGATACTTAAATTTTTTGCAGCAGCACTGCATCCCCTGTAATTTAAAACTTCTCCCCCCACCCCCAGCATAAATTAATTATATTTTAATAGTTTTTTTTTGGAATGAAAATAATTAAATGATTTAGTTTAGTTCTATTTTTTCTATTTAACTTTCTAGAAAAAAGAAAAAAATTACCAATAAAAGTAATCTGTTCATAAAATTTACCAGGAAAAATTGTTTACAGCTGCTAATCAAAATAAATGCATAACTACTATTTTTTTTAAAAGGAAACAACAACTAGCTATGGCAGAAAATACAATTTGTTGGTCTCCTTCACCTCAGGGTGCTTTCAATCCTGGTTAAGAATGGCTGATTCTAGGGAAATGTTTCTGACACAGGTGCAGTTATTTGATATCCATGGGAGGTGATGTTTTTTATAGGGTGCAGAGGTTTGTTACGTTATATTTCAAGGTGGGTCTAAATTTTTGTGACAGTGTAGGCATGGGGAGGGGTAAAAAATCTGCAAAATTTGTGTGAATTCATTTATGTATTGAACAATATTTTCAAAATGAAAATTACAGCTTTAAGACCTAGACATTGAGCTATGGCTTGAAAAAAAAAAAATAATTGATTTGATACCAAAGTTATGATTGTAGGTCCATTCTACAGAAAGTAATGATCATTTTCAAGAACAAGAATTATTTTAGTATAGCTCTGTTAATTGAGACAAGTAAGAAAATATTTAAAGTGAATAATATAAAAACCGGGTAGAGACTTTTTGAGAGAGCTGACACTCCTTGGTCATATGATTTTTATAATTTTCAAGCTTTATTAAACAATGCCGACAATGGTATCCAGAGAGGAAATGTAGTCATACTTAACTGATGAAATAACATGTTACATCAAAATTGCTATCATTTTCCATCATATGAGTCCATTTTTGTCAAAATTGCTATTCTTTACTGTAAAACCTCAAAATTTGATTGAAATTCAGACTGTAATTGAATTGTTTTAATTTAAAATTTGGGATTTATCCATTTTTAAGAAAGAAGTTGACATATTAGAATTCTCTTACTACCATGCAGCGAATAAGAGACTATTCATATAATTTTTTTTCTTTTTGCCATGTTTAAGTGTTAATAAAAAAAAATTG